AAACAGCTAGAAGCTCAGACTCTTTGTCGATTCGCTTTAGGCAACTGAGCTTCTGCAAATTTCGGCCCCCTGCCACTCCGAACCACCATGCTGGCCTCTCGACCCAGCTGAATCAGCTGTCGAAAAAGCCACTACAAAGTAGCCCAACTGAGTCACAATCAAGACCCGGTATTAAGATGGTCTACCCGGAACCATGCTTCAATTATTAAGAAGGCGGATATCCGCAACTATTTCTGGCTAGGACTGCCCCTTACTGACCTTCATCTACCCGGTTTTTGATTGTGGCTCAACTGAAAATTGCAGGTGATCATGTCCTTTGGTGTGTGGGGACTGGTGTTCTTCCAAAACATGTCTCAGGCAGAATCCATCCGCGGTTGATTTTGCGGCTCTCCCAGTTAAGAGAGCCGTCACTTTTGAGGAAAAAACGTCCCAGCGGACCTGGTTCTCCAGATTTGAGAGGTTAGAATAAGTTGGTACCTGATGTTTTTTTTTTCTGTAGTCTACTTGAGTAGGGGAACCCTCCCCCAAAAAAGGGGAGAGAAGGGCACTACCGGGGGACGTGGCAAACCAGCAAGCCATGCATCTGAAGCAAGGGTTTCTCTTTTGCACCGTTGGGGCGAAACAAAGGGACCATGTTTGGCTGAAGGGACCTGAGTCACAATCAAAACCCGGTATTGAAATGGTCTACCCAGAACCATGTAAAGAAGTTAGAAGGCGGATATCCGCAACTATTTCTGTCTAGGACTGGCCCTTACTAACCTTCATCTACACGGGTTTTGATTGTGGCTCACCTATCAATTGTCCCTCTGGACGAAAATGGGGCCACTTCCTTCCCCGCCGACTCCAAACTCCGTCGGGGCCTCTTTCTGCAGGTTTTCCAGCCCTGCGAGCAGCGAGAGGCCTTCGGGCCTTAAGCTTTGAAATTTTGGCGTTCTAAAGACGCAGGACCCGCAGGACCGGGGTCCTGAGAAACCAAATGAATCTGTCAACTGAACGTGGGTCCCCGAAGGTGTCAAACATGACCTGAGGGGGGTCGGGTGCAAACTATAGGCATCTTTTCTGAGGCTAACACGGGTTTGTGGTTTCAACGAAACACTCTTTGAGGTTCCATGGAAAAGGGCACAGCCAAATTATCACGTCCGGCATCCAGACTGTTGTCGTTGCCTGGAGACAGCCCTCTTTGCGCGTTGCGAGTAGCCAAGGGTTGAAAATCCAAGGGATCCTCGGCGGACGAGGCTTCTGAATTGGGGTTCCTCCATGAGCAAATATGTCCGCGGGAGAAAAGGATAAAAACAACATGTAGATTTGAGTTGAAACCAACAGGGGAACACAGGATATCCTATTGAGCAAATGAAAGTGAGTTCAGTTTCATCTGAGCCATCGATACTTTGGCATGCCTGCTCCGTCCAAACTTCCGCGTGGCGTTCTGGCTTTCTCAATTAGGATGTTAAAAATTCGGATTTATGCACGCGCTACATGGCGCGCCGGTCTTCCTGTTGGCTTCCCTTTAAACCAACCCTCAAAAGACACACACACACACACACCCATAGGCGTAGGTATGGTGTAGGTGACCTTCTGGAAAAACATGGTCCTGGTCAATGGAAGAAAAGCAATCTAAACCAGTGCCGGGGCGAGGATGCTTTCCCCATCCAAGGAAGTTCCACGAAGGGAATTTGCCGCCCAAGGGGCGCGTATTTGGGACCCTTCCAGGTGTTTTCGCTTTGGTTTCGAAACCAACCTTAGACAGACAGACCCATTTGATGTCTTGTCTTTTTTAGGATTTCGGTCTTCCTCGTGGTTTTCCAAGAAAACAACAACAAACAAACGGGGGGGAGGTACCGAGCTTCATGCGTGTTGTCATTGCATTGTGGGTTGATGATGCATTCCTAACCCCGATGACAAACCGCGGGCCGACCCACAAGCGCACCAGAATTGCATCTGCTTGGTGACCCATGCATTTCCCTGTCTTCTTTTGGGGCACCCCAAAAAATGGAAAGCTCTACCGGGAAGCTGGAAAACCACGAAGAAACCACAGATTCTGAGGGTGCCCCTCGTTTTAAGACACACCCAAAAATGAGGAAACAAAAACAACGTTATAGGAATCCAGGCGTCCAGCTGGTTGTCCATCTCCAACCCTCGAGGATGCTTGTTGCCGGACACGTTTGAAAAGAAAAACACTTATTGGATGCTGGGTAATGTTGACCCCATATTCATCAACCAACCAGTTTATCAATAGGGGGGTGGTTGTGGCCTCTCCAAAAGTGGTCTGAGTCCCCACTAAATCCAGGGACACTCCCGTATCGAAAAACTGGGGTTGATTAATATGGAGTCAACATTACCGGAGACCGATCGCTGACAAGTACCACTTTAGGTAAACGGGTCCATGACCATGGCGCGCAAAAGCCCCGCGTTTTCCGTGCGTGAGTAGAAAGCCTAGCTGGCACACGGAGCACCGCGTGCCACTTAGGCTTCCGCGTCCGCTTCGTTCAGGCCCACGGAACATTTCTCCTCAAGGCCATGGCACAACTGATTTTGAGTCGCGTCATTGACCCCGAACTGAAGCATCCAACTGGTGGTTTCCCATAAGGGGATGCTGAGAACCAGCAATTCCAGGACAGACAGGCTTCCATATCCCACCTTTCAACTCAATGTCTTCCGAGCCGGCATTGAGAAACGCCCGCTTCGGACATGATTTCATGTCTAGGCCACATGTGGCGCAGAGCGAGCAGAGCGGGTTGAACATTTGTGTTGCTCAAGAGCGGTGCTTGAACAATACTAGTGCCTTAGGCCCCAAAAGGCCAAACTAGACGGTGGTTCCCAGGCAAACCCACAGAGTAGGTAACCCTTCGCTACTTTCCTTTTGGTGCTTATATCCGGTGGCAAGCCCTTGGTTACCTACCTTTCCCCGTAGATGGATCCACTAGAGAAAGAGGCGCGACTTTGCAACCAGTCGCGGTGAACTCATTTAGCCCTTCTGGGGCGATCAAGGTTGATGCTGCCAAATCCATTCTTCCACAATTCCCTTGAAAAGCCTCCTCTCAACTTCCACGACTGCTGAACAATGAGTATTTATGCAGCTTTTGCGCAACTGGGCAAACCCAAGCCACTGACTCAAAGGTACAACCCTCGCCGCAATGGCTCTCTCTCGCTCTTGCCAGGGCGCGCGCCCGCGCGCTCGCAGGCGCGCGCTTCAGAGGCTCAGCGCGCGCGCCGGTGGCTCACGCGCTCATTAACAGGTCGCGGCCTGGGAGTTAGCGAAGCGGCTGGCACCTAGTCTAGGTCCTCCAGTGGAGCGGCTAGAATAAGGCTACCTTTTTTTCTGTAGTCTATTTTAGTAGGGGAACACTCCCCAAAAAAAGGGCAAAAAGGCACTACTGGGGGACCTAGTAGTTGTAACCTATTTGCCATGGTTGTAAGTGGCCTGCAGCCAGGATTCTTGACAATTCATCCAAGTCTAGCAACCAATGGTTATAACCCACGAGTTTTTTCCCAAAACCTTGGCAAGTGGTTAGCAACCAAAGGTCAAAACCCACCCACGAATTGTCCACCACCTTGGCAAGTGGTTAGCAACCCAAGGTTAAAACCTACTGAATTGTCCAACACCTTAGCAATTAGCAACCAAAGGTCATAACCCACTGAACAGGGACTCCAAACGTGGCTTTGGTGGGGTATAGTCAGGCAACACATGGTTAAAACTCACTGATTTTGAACTTCACACATGGCTTTGGTGGGGTTTTGTCAGGGTGATTAATTCAGCACATACCTGACGTGTGAAGCCAGGGTTGCTCGCAAACATTGGATGCCTAGGGTGCAAACATCGGCAAAGCAGAAATGTGGCAACGCCTTGTTTGCGCTCATGGGGTTTGTTAGGTTAACATCTCAGGGGAGCCTGCCAAGATGACTCTGAGAGTGTTCAGGGTTGGTCGAACACTCCTGATTGATCCGAACAGCGTCCAAATGCTTGAAAGGGCTTCTCAAAACTTGTTGGTCAATCAAGAATCCTTGGGAAACCAATGCAAAGGGCATCCCGCCTTAAGGGTTGGATGGGGGGGTCCTTTCCAGCTATCTAGTGCTCCGCATAAAAAGGGGCAATGGAACCATACCCCCCCTCCCGCAATTCCCTTTTTGAGGGGCTGGGGATCAAACGGCAAAGAAGACACCCAGGATCGACGTGGCAGTGATCCGACTCCGGCGGAACGAAGGAACCAGTAGGAGGACAGTTGCCACGAAATGGGTGAACCCGGAACCTTGTGGCTAGAGCCTACTTCCGTCCTTGTGTGTGGCTTAGGGGTGAAAGGGGTGCGCCTGCATTCAAACTGGGACTGACTCAAAGTGGAGCTCGAGTGAGTCTCTCTCTTCCCGGGCCGATTCCCCCCGCCCGATTCCTCCCTCCCCCTCCCAAGCCATCATCGATCTAACACCCAGGAAGGCGTCCGCAGCCTTTTTGGGCAGGGTTTTGTACAAACGGCGCCCTTTCTTGCCTTCTGACCCTCAAAAAATGGTCAGTCATTACCAAACAAAAAGGATCAATATAACCCCACTGCTTGACAGGGTCATGGAGACTCCAGGTAGTTGATGAAAACAGAATCCCTCCAAAAAACTGCAAAAACAGATTTGCACCCGCCGGAGGTCTCGGTGCAAAAGGAACCCGAGCCTCCAAAACATGCCCAGTAATGATAGATTCCATGTAAAACCGACAGAGGAAATAAAACATACACCTGGAGTCTCCATGACCCGAATAAAAAATGGTTGGTCATTACCTAAAATGATGGTTGGTCATTGACCCATTCTTATTTCGGGTCATGGAGACTCCAGGTAGTTGATGAAAACAGAATCCCTCCAACAAATACTGCAAAAACCGATTTGCACCCGCCGGAGGTCTCGGGCACACCCATACAGGGAAATAGCACATCTTCTTCAGGAAATTGGCTTCCCCAAGAGAAGCCCACGTCGAAACGGCCGGGGAAACCGCCATCGGCATCGCCTCGCCTGGAGATCCCTTAGGGCTGCTCCTGTCGAGCGAAAAAAACAAATCGAGCGGAGAGGTTTCAAAGGATTCGAATTCCCCGGACTGCAGGGCTGTAGAAACTTGGTAGTAGAAACCTGGTAGCTTACTTGGATGTTCAACCCACTTAGTAAGTAGGTTATAACCATGGTAAGGGAACCACCTCCAGTTACCCTGCTTATAGCCATGGTTATAGCCTACTTTCTAAGCGGATTGAACATCCAAGTATGGGCCCAAAAGCAGGGCTGTGGGGAATGGAACCCACTTCTGTGATACAACAGAAAGGGCCAGCCCCAAAGATGATTTTCTTCATAAGAAGGATTTTCTTGTATCACAGAAGTGGGGAGAAACCCCGAGTGATCCCACAACCCTGTGCGACTCGCGATTCGAAGGCTTGAGTCCTTTTCCATTCTTTCCAACTATCGTTCGTTGCAAACCCCGGATCCGTTTCCCTGGGTTTCTGGAGGTTTTCTAGAAAGATTCGGATCCCTGGGTTCAGAATGGAAATCGAAGGTAGCACTAGAGCAATGGATGTTTGACCCACACCCAGCGGTCGCAGGAGGGAGCTCCTGCTTGCTCGCTCTCAGAAGGGAACCCTAATGTTGCTGAACATAAGTCCAATTTTCCTGAGTCAAAGGAAGAAGGAATCCGTCCCTTGACGGTCCAGGTAGGCGCATGTAGATTCAAACAGTTGTGAATGTTTATAAACCCGAAATGGTGGACATCAAAATTCGGTGAAGAAACAAGTCCACCACTTTTGAGATAGTGCTGGGTTGGTGGGAGAGGAGGAAGACCTGCATGAACATATATGGATATGGCTGTGGCTCGAAAAAATGTACCAAACTGACACCTTGGTAAATGGAACCCAAGGCTAAAAGCTGTGCAACCCTAGCGTGTTCGTTTTGAGGCACACCCATGTGGGAGCTTTAAAAACTGGAGGAATCCGACCAATGGGTGTCCATTTACTTTTGAGGAACCATGGCATCTCTGCCGATGTGAAGGAAACTACGTCTCTGTGTGTACGGAACTTGTTCACTGGCTGGGGTTGGGGGATCCCCGATGTTGAGACGTTTGCATAGTTGCGGCAAAACTACTTTCTGTGAAACCAGCAAGGGGCCATTCCCGTGTCGTATCACGGAGAATGGCCCCAGGCAGGGGGGGAAACAATGTCGGTGCCATCTCACTTCGACCAGGAGCCCCTTTGAGACATTCCAATACCCTGATAGGCATGATAACGTACATGGGTCCAAAGTGACATCCTCAAAACCACCCTCAAAACTCCGAAAGAAACAACACAGGTCTATAGACATATTAACATTCACTGGGTCCATTAAAGTGATAACTACGCTTTGGACGCTGAAAACAAGCACGTCGAGAACAACCCGGAAATTCAAAAGGAAAGTAGAGAAGTCCATGACGAAATTGGCGAAACCGGGTACTGGGGACGGGTCCCAGTGCCTCCAGTTACCACTCTAGGTAACCAGCTAATTATGCCTCCAGGTTCTACACTGAGAAACCGCTGGGTATAGTGGCGAAACGCCAAGCTGGAATAGGCTCAGTCCAGAAAGAGTCCCCCTTGTGCCAGAAGCCCGGCATGCCCATGCCCATGGCTCTTTTGATGGGAAAAAACAGCAGTTGTTCGATCTGCTGAAAAAGGGAGGCCAAAGGAAAAAGCGCCAAGAGGGGATCAGAAGCAAAAGAGAAAGATTTGCACCAGGGTCCAACCACTTGAAATGACACAAAAGCAAAAGTGGGGGCAAGCTCAACAAAAGCTAGATGAGTGTGCCTGGTAAATGCCCCTACTTGGGTGTTCGATTCGCCAAGTTAGCAAGTTGTTGGTTGCGGTTCGGTTATAAGCCACTCATACGTCCCCCGTTCGGCGGGGCTGAGCTTGTTATTAAGGGGTTGTATAGCCCGGGTGGCTAACGACTTGCTAACCTGGCGAATCGAACATCCATGTACGCCCATGGACGAGCACCTACCCTCGGATACTTCCATTTGTTTAAGTCCACTGGAAAAAATGAGAACATATGTCCAGTAATGATAGGTTCCCTTTAAAACGAACAGGGGAGAATCAACAAAGTAGCCGTTTCCGCAAATGGAAGAGAATGCCCCCTCCCCCCCCCCGGCCACCCTCCCGAGATGGGCCTATTACTAAACCCACCCTAAACCCACCCTAAACCAATGAAACCAACCCTACACCCACCCTAAACCAAGCAAACCAACCCTAAACCCACCCTAAACCAATGAAACCAACCCTACACCCACCCCAAACCAATCCTGAACTAACCCCGCCAACCCCCCCCCCCCCTCCAGGCACCACCCCTTTAAAGGGGACCCTCGCTCCGGAACCCCCGGGTTCCGCCCGCCTCGTTCCACGACACCATGCCGGCCATGGCACCCCAGAGCTCCGAGTGCCTTCGGAAACACACCGGCTCGAGACCCGAGCTTGGATCTGTCGTGGTGTCAGGGATACTTCTACTCACTTGCTGAGTGGATGGCCTCAAACTTTATATTTACCACTAAAATGGACTTTCCAAAAAGTTTAAAGTTCATGAACTCAGGAAGTGAGTCTAGGGCACCCGAAAAGGATTGCCATTTTGCAGGGGTCATGGAGACTCCAGGTATCTGTTGAGGGGTTTAACACCTTTCTTGGGGTCACCTAAAAGCAGAAACAACTTTTTGGGTGTGCGTCCGAGTTGTTTTTTTTTCTGACCTGGACCCTCAAACAACGCAAGCAAATGGGCTGCCGCAAAATTATTGGTGTTTCCCCTTCCAAGGGCAGTTTGAGGGTCCAGCGCACTTTGGGGTTGGTGAAAAAGGGAAGCCAAAGGGTACAACCTTTGTTGGGGTCCTTTTGCGATTCTAACAAAATACTTGTGGTTGACATACCAACGGAAGAGTTTTTGCAGGTACGTGCCCCAATAAGATGCACCTGCTCATTCCTGCTTTACAATTAACATTCTCCCTTGTCTCTATGGCGTCTAGGGCCTAACATATCCCAGCGATCGCATGGAACCTTGCAAGACCTGGGAAGATACGGGGCGCTTTTGGAGTGGAATACTAGGTCCTCCAGATTTGAGAGGTTAGAATAAGGGTACCAAGTTTTTTCTGTAGTCCATTCTAGTAGGGGAACCCTCCCCAAAAAAAGTTGGTGAAAGAGCATTACTGGGGGACCTAGAAAACCGGGCTAAGGGACTCTCCTCGTAACGATCGTGGGTACTTCTTGGTCCACGTCATGGCGGGCAACATAGGCATCGGAGCCTCCTATACCACCCCCGAATCAACACGCTGCCCTCAAAAAGAGACTCCCAGTGGATGCCAGGCAAGCACAGATATGGTAGGTATCCCTTCGCCATTTTCCATGTGGCTGCTATATCTGGTGCTTCCCTTGGTTGCCTACAAGACCAATGATTCTGGTGGAACGACTACGTCCGAGACCTTGACACATCTTCCAGTTGCTAAAGCGCCGGGAATAGACAATATATTTCCAGTATAGTGATAGTTGGCAGGTGACTCACTTTGGTCGCCATTTGTTTCTCACTTTGGTCCTTGTTGGTTTTCTGCGCCGTCAATACCAAGAATGGAAGAACCCGCCCAGACAGTGACTCACTTTCGTCCTAGTCATTTCTCAGTTTGGTCGCAGTGGTTTTCTCACTTTGGTCGTACTTGTTTTGCCGGTACTGTGCTTCATGATGACCAACTCACATCACTTTAGGTTTTTTGCTGCGCCTGTCACTTCTTCAGGTAGTCAACACATCACTTTAGGGTTTCCGCTGCGGCTGTCACTCCTTCAGGTAGCCAGCACACTTTAGGGTTTAGGGTTTAGGGTTTAGGATGTAGGGATTTGGGTTTAGGGTTTAGGGTTTAGGGTTTACCAATCTTATGCAAGGGTACCTGCCCTCACGTGCCCACACAACAAACATAAAGCCGGGTTGATCCAGTTCAGCGCCAAAGTGTGCTAGGACCGAAGCGAGGAGCGCGCAGTTCAGTGCGCATGCGTACTAGGACCGAAGCGAGAAGCACACTAGAACGCAAGCGAGACAACACTAGGACTAAAGCGAGAAACAACTGGGACCGAAGCGAGTAAAAAACTAGGACCGAAGTGATGCCGCGACCACATGATAGTTTCCCTTAAAAACCGACAGGATACGGGGAAGAAGATGGAAGAAGGAACCTATTTTCATGGAGTTTAAATAAGAGAGAGACCCCAAGCAAGGCACAAAACTTCATGGGCAGAACACCTCGAATTGTTTTTTGCACCGCTCCGAGCCGGTGATCTAAGCTCCAAGCGAAGAGTGTGACGGGAGCGGCGGCTCCCTCCTCAGAAATATGGCTGTCGGGGATATTCTTTTAGAAAAAAAAACAGTGCCTCCAGGCGCTTGCCACAAAAAAGTGGTAGCCAGGCAACGCTATCTCTAGGCAGCGAAACATCATCATCTCTACTCTTGGTATGGTAGCGAAAAACCTTTTTTCTTGCAGACCCCAGCAAAAATGAACAGAACCAAAAAACTAAAAAACCAAAAAAACATGCCAAGAACAGTGAAGTCATAGCTTGCCTCTGGTTGCCAACTCTAGCCGGAAGCACTGAGACAAGTACTGGAAGTTGGGGGGCTGGTCTTCCAGGAACCCCCTGTCAGGTTCCATGTTGGTAATGGACCTCGTGAGGCCTCCGTTGCGCAACTGGGTATTTCAATAACTTGGGAAAATAGTCAAAAAGGGAAACAACAAATGGGCGGCGACAAAATACATGTTGTTTAAAGAGGCAGTCTCCAAATCCACGTTTGGTTGGAGCCAGCTTCCAGCGTTGGGCAAATGAACGTTATTCACTCATCGAAAACATTGAGTGCTCTCTAGGAAAGGATGCGTTGTCACGAGTATGTTGGCAAGCAAAGAAAACCTAAGGTTTGGCAAGCAAACAAAAACTATATCTCACTTGCTGAGTGGATGGCCCAAAAAAAGTTTAAACTTTATATTTACCACTAAAATTGTCTTCCCAAAAAGTTTAAAGTTCATGAACTCGGGAAGTGAGATATTTTGGGTAATGACCAACCATTTTTTATTCGGGTCAGATTCGGAGACTCCAGGTGTTTGTTTGCCACCAAAATGTCCTACCCAAAAAGTGGAACTCAGAGAGTGTGCACCAGAATCGTACCTTCAGAACGCGCATTCTTGAATGAGCCAAAACGTGACTGAGTAACCCGCTCTATGGAAAAGCCCCGTGCACTCAATCAACCAAAAGGCTTCTTAATCCTGGGTTCCCTGAGGACCCATAACAAAAACTCACTTGCCCAAAGAGCCAAGAAACAAAAGTGTTGTTCCCCTTTTGGGAGCCTTCTTGCCAAAAATGAAAACCGCAAAGGGTAAACCAAAAGCTCAGATCCGATTGATCCGTTTTGGACAAGACAGAAATACCTCCCTTCCCCCTCCCCCCTCCCCCCTCCCTCCCCCTGCCACCCCCACCCACCCCCCCTCCCCCCAAGCAAGCCGCCAGGTTCTTGGCTGGAACTAGGACCAACAGCAAGTAATACATATATATATATATATTTGCCTGGTTGGTGGAAAACAAACAGAACCAAAAAACAAAAGTGGAACTCATTCTGGGGCAGGTCAAGTTGCGGTTCGGCGCCCCCACTGAGACTCCGGCGCTGGCGAGCCCGGCGAGCCCGGCGAGCTGGGGCTCTCGTCCCCAAAGAGCTCCTGGCGTGAGACCAGCTTGGACCATGGGTGGTTTCCACCAGATAGCCCAGAGGGTCGCTTTACAAGGTGGCGCCTTCATGGCTATTTGGTTGGATCTTTGGACTTGTTTTTTTGGGAAGCAGGTCGGATTTTCCACTGGAACAAAGTTAAGAACTTTGCACAGGGGTCAGCAGCAACCAAGACGCAAGTGTCCAAAGGGAGGCATGCCTATTAAGGCAAACAAAAACACACACATCTTGCACAAAGAGCTCCTCGCAACACCTTTGGAACTGCCTCCAGTTGGTTTCCCTTGGCGGCAGTATTAGGCTTGCATGGAAACCAACTTTACCCAACCCCCACCTCAGTAGGTTATAACCATGGGTATATGGTAAAAAGTGAAACTACGCCTAGTGACCAACCACTTATAACCTTGGTACCTTAACTATGTTCGCGGTTTTGAGGCGGCAAGTAGCCCAGAAAGTCCCTTGGCGGCAGTATTCGGCTTGGATGGAAACCAGCTTTGCCCAACCTTGTTTCGAAACCAGCTTGCTTTGCCCAGAAATTATGTTGGTACCTGTTATATTTTCGCAGACTTGAGACATGTGTAAATGACGAATCCCCGAAAGAACTAGAATAATTTCTGGGTAGGTTAAATAGTCATGGTGACTGGGAATTACGTCAGGTAACACACCAGAAAGAACCCCCTCTGGGACCGATTCTCTTTCTTCTGCCAAAAACATCCCACACAGAACAAGGTACAAAGGCAGAACAAAAAGAACCGGTGCATTGGGGGTCCAGGCAGTTTCTTTGGAGTTGAAAAGGCGGCTTTCAAAAAAAGAGGAAGAAAAAACACGCAGAAATAAACACCTAAACTCTTTTGCGGACGGTGTTGTACGGACCGAAGCAAAGCTCAGTGGATGCAAACATATCCCTACGTCCAACATTCTTTTAATGGGGGTTGAACCCTGGGGCCTGTAGCTACTTCCTGTAGCCCCCTTCTCACCCTTGAAACGTGGTTGGTCATAACCCAAGGGGGGTCATGGGCCCATGTTTGATTCGGGTCACAAGGGGAGACTCTACCCGAAGTACCCCCCCCCCCAAGTTTTTCTTGGTCGAGGTCTGGTGAAAAGCTTCATCGCAAATTTCACAAGTCGAGCTTCGCGGCCGAACGATTCCTCTTTCGAGCAAGATGTATCACAGCGCCTGGAGGTCCCTCAGACCTGGAAGCAACAGGTGATCCATTTTTGGCAACCGAAACATGGACTGACATGGACGAAATCAGGTGGTATCCCCAACAGCCCCCGGAACACCCGAAAGAAACACTCCGGTATCCGCCCCGAAAGTTGCCCCGAACCCCGAACGAGCCTATCTGGGCCTATCGACCCCACTTTCAGCTGTTGGGGAAAACCCAAATTTACTTTGGGTGTTCGATTCGACAATTAGTAAGTTGTACCTAGAGTCTCCATACCTAAAAAAATGGGGTCATTGACCCATTTTTTAGGGTCATGGAGATTCCAGGTAGCGGTAGCCTGGCCGGCATCACCCAAGAAGTAAGTCCCCTTCCCCCTAAGCTCAGATCCCCCGCGAATCTAGGGGTTGATTCCCTCCTTTTTTTCAACCATCCTTCTATTCAAAACCCAGCCGGGTTCCCTGGGTTTCTGAAAGTTCTCCAGAAAGAAGGATTCCTGGAAAGAATGGACATGGAAGGTACCAGAGCGAACCTCGCTTTCCAACCCAAGCCGCCAAGTCGAACCAAAAGTCCTGCGACAGCTTCGTCGCCGCCATGGAGCGGCGCTTGGAGCCTGGCATGCCCGAGTTTGGAGCCTGGCCTTTCTGCAGGGATCCGGATGCATTATACACCTGAACCATGCCTTGTAAATGGTGGTGTCCCTTTATTTTGGCGGGAAAACAACATGTTTCAAATGAGCAAAATGGAGATCTTCTAAGGAGCCCTGTTCTGGATGTGGTTTTGGAAGGGATCTAAGGAAGCCAGTCACTCCCGGATCGGCTCCCTCGTGGTCTCCTTTCAATGAAGGAGTAGCCATAGCTCCTATCCCGGGCTCGCGTTTGATGTGAAGCCGAAAGGGATTTCAGAGCCTCAAATCAAAGTCTCCTGAGTATGGGTCAAATGTTCTTTAAAGAAAGATATGGACTGCAGAGTTTAGTACCCCGCCTAGGGATTTCAAAGTCCCCTGTGGTCGGGGACCACAGAGTTGGGTCAGCCTGTTTCCAAAACACCAGGGCAAGCCATGTTGGGTACCCATTCTAAACCCACACACCCCTGACCAAAGGGGATGTAAAACCGCTGTGGGGAGCTGGGCCCATGTTTGTTTCCCGTTGTCAATGTCACCCCCTGGGTATGTTAGAGGGAAACAACCCACCAGAAATTCGGACATTGATAACTTTCGGAAGCCTCAGGTGAAGCAATATGATGATATAAAACCCAGTGCTTCCAGTTACCGCTACAATAGGCAACCAGGGACAACCATGACGTACGACATAGAGTAGCCACACCTGGTTGGCCACTATAGTGGCTTGCGGCGAAGCACTGGCCAATTATCCAAAATAATATGTTCAGGGGAAGCAACATAATCACCCACAATAGTAGGTCACCCTTCGGGCTCCTTAGCAGGTGTTTTTTAGCATGGATGGTTTCCCCTGGTCACGAGGTGGTAAAATAATAAGCCCAGGGAAAGCAACATCTAAGCTCCAACTTGAAGGCCCCCTCCAACAGCTCGATCTCGCGCAGGATCAGCCTGATCCGGGTCTCCTGCCATCCGGATGCGAACCTTTGGATGCCAAGCACACCGGGCCGCTACTCCAAATACCAGTTCTATCCCCCAAAAAGCAGGGCTGGGCTCATTGGTTTCTGTTTGCTTGAAGATATCAGGTGAAAATCCCTGAAAGACATATTTACCTATGAGGGAACCATATTTTGTCAAAATATACCCCGAAAGGGGCATGTCACGCTCCTGGAAAAGGACGGAGCCACAGAAGTAAGCATCGGGGCTCACTTTTAATAACCAATCATTCCCAAGACCGGGAAGGTGATTCCCTACTGAGAACCCGCAAGTTTTATCCACGCCAAAACAAAGTTCCGTATACTCTCCCAGTAAACATGACCGGGACCCATGAAAAATGAGAAATATGGCGACCGCTGACAGCTAGAGCAGTTTAGCCAGCTATCAAATCAGTGGTGTTGGATTCGCAGCCACGCCTTTCCAAAACCGCATGTTTTTCGGGCGGTGTGGATTTCTGTAGAGGTCGCTGCCGTAAATTAATGCTTCCCAAAGGGGAACCCGACAAAACACAACCATTGCCGAAACTAGCGACCAACAATGACTGACGCTCCTGCCATGCCAAAACCTTGGGGGGCACTTGACTTTGCAGGGAAGCCCTCTTCAACAAGACAGCTGCAATGCTCACTTTCTGAGTGGATTGGCCAAAACAAGCCCCAACTGGTTGTTTGCCACCAACATGATCTTCCCAAGAAGTTTGAAGTCCAGGAACTCAGGAAGTGCAAACAGCCCTTGGGTTGTCCTTTTAAGAGACTCGGATCTGGTGAAAAACTTACTCATCAGAAAACTAGTAATGCTCCCGATTTACACCATGCTGTATAGGCTTGCTTTTTTCGGGAATCCCAAAACGATTCATTCCATTTCTCCTTCGCCGCAAGAAGAAAACAAGAGGCCCCGGTTCTTGGGTGTCTCACCAATGGTTCCCTCCCACGTCCATGTAGGTATGCGTCAAAATTTAACCACCAGGAATCGGGCCGCAGGTTTTAGTCCACTTGGCTTTCCATTTACTAGGGTTCCGTTTTGGGGCTACCCGGAGTCTCCATGACCCTTAAAAAATGGTTGGTCGTTACCCAAAAGAATGGTTGGTCATTGACTCATTTTTATTTCGGGTCAGAGGGAGACTCCAGGTACCCTCAAAAAAGGGCAACCCACCCACATGCTGGGTTGGAATATCCATATTTACTAGGGTTCCGTTTTGGGGTTCCCCGATTCTTGACGTCCACGCACGTCACGTCCCCCGTCCTCTGCAGCAAGGCTTGCAGCTCCGCGCTGGCGGAGGCCAGGTCCGGCTTGCCTACGGATCGAATCAGACGCACCGAAGCTCGGCGCCGCACTTTTCCTGGTGAAAGAATGGACACCACCACATACCCCTTAAAACTCCAAGCCCTGGGGAAGTTAATCTTTTACAGACATATAGCCCATGTTACCCAAAAAGTTGAAAAGTTGTGTTTTTAAGAGGTAAGACCAGGAAAACCCATGGCCTGGGTGACCCATTTACCGGGGTTTGGGTCACCAAGGCCTTGCCGCCCTTCTCAAAAATACAGAAAGAGCGGCTTACCTACCGCAGCGGGTTGCATGGGGATCCACTGAGTACCTGGGTGGGTGGACCCCTTTGGTGTTTATATGGAAGACCACAAGTTGAATCCACCTTTTTCGGTGCCTGCGATGTTGCGTTAAACACCCGAATGGGCTCCATTGCAACCCAAAAACCAGGCGCATAGAAACAAACAAACGCACCCTTGGTTTGGTCATTGAGTTGCCCAGAGTTCTACCCTTTCACTGTGCTTCCGGCAAGCCACAATTTGTAGGTCCTCTAGCTTCACAACACGGTTTTCCTTGGTTACCTACTATAGTGGCAACTGGAACTGGAACTGGTAATGCAAGCTCCTGTCTCACCCCCACAAAACCCGTATCGTATCCCGTGGCTTCCTGCAATATATTTTCGGACATTTCATGAGGCCCCGTCGGCTCTTTGGAGCAAACAGGGGGAGGGTATGTGGGGCCGTGGATCCCGTGAATGGGTTCCAAACAACCGGGGAGACCGGAAAATGCCGTCCTGGACGTGGTGGTTGCTGTCCAGCCACCAAGGTCACAGAGGATCGATGCGTGTTTGGGCACTCGGTTCTAGGAAGCAGGGTTGTGGAAAAGAAGCGTGTCTGTCTCAAGACCAAATTGTATCATTGTATAGGGGATTCCCATATCACAAAATGGGCCCCACCCCACTTCCCGCAATGGGTCAAAGGCTTCTTCACATGTGTCGACTTGGGCTAATGGGTTTCCAAGAATGAGCAACGCCGTTTGATGCCAGAGTCCATTCACCAGCAATGCTTAAGAGTGTCCCCCATTCGGATGATGGCCATAGTATGGACCATGGAGCAAGGCTAGACCATTTGGGGGCTGTCCTCAAATATCGTGTTATCACCGTAATAGGTAACCAGGTACTTGTTCCTCTAGGTTTTACCGTGGATGGTTCTCCCTGGTTACCCACTATAGTGGCTTGCCTGGAAGCACTGGCCTTGATAGGACTTGATTGACACCCCTTTTTTTCTGGTGGTCTTCCGAATTCCTCATAAGGGAATCAGCGGCCGTGGGCCTCTGCTGGCAGTCACCCAAGACGCATACAAGGTCGGGCATCGTGCATCGCGCTGGGCCCAGATATGAAGGTCACGTCCTGAATTTTATCCTCTAAACGGTGGGTAAAAGGGAAATAACCCCCAAAAGTAATTCTCAGGGGTCACTGGAGTTCCCCGAATCACGAGTTGCACTTCACTGGCGGTTTCCCTTGCGGAACTGGCTCGGAAATGAGGACCCCTCAAAATGTCTGCACTTGAAAAACCCCCCAGTCTCACGGAATTCGTCGTGTTCCTTCCCACGGTCGTACTCGTGCCCTGCGCCCGCCTGACTCCGGCGGAACCTCTGTCCTACCGAACGGGTGTTTTTGTTCACAGGACTTCCTGAAAGAGTGAGGGTGTTTTACTATTGAGCCATCAAGTCAATTGACAGTGAAATCCGCCGAGCCCATGCCTATTCCAGAATGGACCATGCTTTTGGCATGGGGGCGGTGTGTTCTGTGTTGTTGCTTTTGATATATCTTCATAAAAGCTTTTATGACCATCAAGTCAATTAACAGTGAAATACAGCTCTTTTATGATCTGCTCAAACATTCAACATGAATGCCTAGCAAATACTAATGGAAAACCCACCAGTTGGCAAAAAGTTAAAGTCCTAACATCCAAGCGCAATGCACCACAGATACAGCTGTTTCTAGTTTCCCTAGCCAACCTGAGCAGAAAGAATATCGCGGTGCCTTTCTGCGGCTTCGGATCGCGTCCAACATGCCCCAGGTCTGCTTTGCTTCTGAAACGGGGACCCCTTTTTTGCCTTTGAGGGGGAGGCAAACAAACAAACAAACCCAAAAAACCTGGCAGATGGGACACTCACGAACTTGTTGTTGCTTTCAAGTTCTCCTTTAAACACCAATGCAGATGGGAGCAATTCATCTTAGCGTGCCCCACCAAATAGGTATTTTCCAGCGCCTTGATCAAACAGTTGTGCCCCGGATGAATTGCTGCAACTTGGAATGTGTATTCTTGTTGTTGGCAACAAACAAGTTGTTGGTCCCTTCAACCGGGAAACCAAGAAGACGACTAACCAGGAAAAGGTGCGACAATTGAACAAGGATAACTCTCAAGCGAAATGCACCATGCTTCCGACTCGTATTCGAGACATCATTTTGGTAACCAGGAAACGCGGACCGGGCAGCGCTTAGAAACAAGTCTCAGACGGCCTCCCTACTCTGGATGGACGACATGCTGCACCACCTAAGAAACCATGGGAAAACAAGGTTTGTCGGTATTTACAGGGGAATCATCATTCCAGGGTTTCTTAGGTGATGCAGGATTTCGTCCACCCACTGTATGTCACTTGCTTACGATACCAGCAAGTCAATGAGCCAAAAGCACAAACCTGGCTATCTTCCGTCTTAGTTGGGGTTCATTGACCCGTCGTGTACCCTTTGTTCACTCCTTATTTACACCCATAAGTTTCCCTTATGCAAGCAGAACCCACCATATACAGCAGAGGCAATTTCAACCAAACACAACAGAAGCATACACCAGCCGAACAAAATAAAACAGGGTGCCGCAACGGTGATGTCTACACCACTGAAAAAAATATAAGGGCGTGAATAAGACAATGGGGTCGTGGGGTCTGCTAACACCGTACTGAATCAGGATTATAAGAGGACAATGTGTGTAATTTACTTAGCCATTAGAATGACCGCAGTCAAATCTGTCCAATCATTGGCATGCGGGCAAAAACAAAGTTTTGTTGAAGCCCTTAAAGCCCGCTAAACATGTACATAATCAATAAGCAAGGCTAAAAAAACATGCCAAAAAACCGACACCATCCCTTCCACTAACATAGCACCTGTGGGAGGGTACCTGAACGATAAGTTTCAGGACCGACGAAAACATTCCTATCCCCAACTCCTTTCTAAATAGAAATTATCGAGGATGGACAAAATTATGTCCATCCACAGTATCACCACCCATGCTACAAATGGTTGAGGGTGAAGGACGGAGCTCCTGTCCACCGTTTTCTACTGGAAGCACCGACGGCAAGGAAGAGAGCTCGTACACCTATAGAAGGAACGGAGTGAATTTGGACGAGGCTTCTCTCACCGCTCTATCAAGTAATCTCTATCTTGAGGTGAGTGCCATCTCCTTTCCCTTGCCCATTAAGAGATGAGCGGGTGGTCAAGAGAGAGGAAAAGAGACTCGGAGGCCTGTAGAAACCCCCTGTCAGGTGCCATGCGGGCACGAATTTTAATGGGGGACCCGAAATGGTGGACATCATTTAGGTGGGGAATGTCCACCAACCACTTCAGGTGGTTCCAACTCTTGAAATTCATAGCCGTGTTCGTTGCAGTGAGGCTAGTGAAACGCCAAAACACCGCGGTGCGCTGTGCGCGCATGTCTAGCGCACCGGTTAACAAAAAAAAGAATTCGGGGCCGCGCCTGTCGCCCGGAGCTACTCGAGACCTGCCGGGAAGCTCGGCGACCTCGTATCCTTCCATTTACTTATTCGCCGCCTGGAAACAAATTGTATATATATATATTGAAAAACTATGTGCAGTAGTGATTCCCTTCAAAACCAGCAAGGGAGAAAAAATAGCCGGACTTGTTATAATCTCCCCGGAACGGCTTGAGCAGTTGCGGCGGTGCCCGGCAGGGGGGGGGGGTGGGGGATTTGAATTGCCCCAAGTTGAATGGCCCGGCTAGGTCTTACTGCCCGAGCAACATCGCGTTACTCCATACCAAACCCCAAACTCTAAAAAGCCGCTGGAAGGAAGCCGACTAGTCGATAAAGGGTTTATGAGCCCCTAGTGTATTGCTTGGGTGTAGCTACTTAGTAGGTTACAACTAAGGCAAGTGCTTTGTAACTGGGGTGATCGTCCCTTTACCATGCTAACCTACTTAGGGGCCCCCAAGAGAGGACCCACAAAAAGCCAAAGGAAGCGTAGCCCCATTAACCCCTTGAGATCACGTCCCAATTGATTTTTCTGTGCGTCGAGATGTGTTCTTGGGGGAGAGAGAGCTGGTGTCCCTCTCTGTGGCAAGGCACAAACAAGAACAGATCATGATAGATTCTGGAAAACAAGTACCTTGACCCTCACACTACCCCAGCAAGAATGGATACTCCCCCATAAACTGAGCTGTCCTTAGATCCCCAGGCTAAAAGTTTAACTTTTAGTGGGCTAAATGGAAAACCCCACTAAACACTAAGAAGCTCAAAAGCTAAGGAACCAAATAGCTAAGAGCACCAAGAAAATAATGCGTGGTGTCCCTTTTCTATTGGTAGAGTTAAGGGTAGTTTGAGGGTCTCGCACACCGGACATTATTCCAAGCCCGAGTAAGGCACCTTCGACGAGCTCGATTTACCTTCCAGGTGGCCTGGTTGCAATTTGCAAACTTAGAGAACTCAGCCCATGAATTGGGATACTAGATAATATGTATTGGGGGCGGTTGGGAGCAAATCACTAGCAATCCCAGACAGCGTTTGGGAGCGTTTGGGACCTCGGTCGTAGGTTCTATGGATTGCCCAAATGCTCCCAACTACTCCCTGGGCCTTCGAAAAGACGGCCCTTTGAGGTCCCTAAGAGGGGTTGGATCCTCCCTAGAAGGGTCCATGAGCGTCTGGGTGTTATCAAAAAAAGAACGACTTGGGTGGAGCTGCTAGGATCCAGCTAGGTTGGAACGATTGAATTCCCCCGCAAAGAATCTGTCAGAGTACGTTGAAGGGGAATCCCTAAAGGGCTGAGAAATGACGAATAGATGACTAAACTTGGCTGATTGTACGCCACATCCCCATTCATTGGCCCAAGTCTGCGTCAAGCCAAAACTAAGTTGTCTCAATCAGTCAAAAGCAAACGATACCATGTTTTCAGGAGACACCAGCTGGACAGCTATTACCCCCCGCCCAAAAGATAATCGCTTTCCCAACAAGCTTAAGATTAAAGATCCAAACCAACAGCATTCAATATAAAATTCAAATTATTGAATGCCTATATATTACATATGTGCTTTGCATTTTGGGAATCCAAGCCTAAAACTCTGTCCGATCCTCCCTTCCCAAATGCCGAGTGCCCAATCGCTTGGCTTGAAAAAAAGAAGACGCGTGTTTCCGAGGGCAGAACTAGAATGGGCAGTCCACCTTACAAAAGGGTGAGTCATTATCCAAAGTGATTCGATGCAGTTTTAAAGGGTCATGGAGACTCCAGGTAGAGCCATTCCCAACTGGCTTTTTCTCAAAACACAGGTACCCCCATGTTCCCAAATGGGTGACTTTTCCGTTGGTTTTAAAAATCCCCAAAAGAGCACCCACTGGATCCCCTGCGGGAAGTCGAACCAACGTTTAGTGGTTTACTTTCATTTGCTTAAGCACCCAGGAAAAACTCCAGCAGTGACGGATTCCTTGAAAACCTAACAGGGGAAAATGACAATAACAACAACTTATCATTGAGAAAATTGTCGAACCCATATTAATCAACACCAGTTTGGTACTAGGGGTCGGTTCCCTCCAAAAAGTGGTCTGATTCTCCACATTTCACCCTATTAATGAGAATAAATATGGGGTTGACATTCGTGGAAACTACCACTAAAACAATTAAAAAAACACCTCAAAACCGAAGGAAACGGAAGGCTGGGAGCCAAGTAATTGGATCCGCAAGCTGAGGAACCATGTCCAACCGTCGATCTTGTGCGCCTGCTGCTAGCGGTCGCCTACACGCGAAGCGACCGAAGGAGTGCACGACAGGTCCGGCTTGACGTCGTAGATTGTTTTGGATAAAGCACTTACGGCTGGTCTCACTGGCCGTTTTCCTTTCGGCAAAGAGGTCAATGGCTCTCACCACGGCCTGAAACAGAAACCCTGATGTACAAGCGTTTCTTGAGGGATACATCCAAAAACAACCGAAGATTGAAGGGGACCCTTTGAATCTGCTGGCACAGGTATTTGTGTGTCAGTGGGTGAGTGAGTGAAACATGTCAGACAAACACAAGCCACACTTCAGCATATTCGGCGTCAGGAAGCATACACGCTTAGCAACAGAAGCAACATCAGTGTCCCTACTGTGGACGAAATTCATTTCACACCACCTCAGAAACCCTGGCTTCTGATACGATTCCCCTGTAAATCCCAACAAACGTTCTGGTTTCAACCATCGTTCCAAAGTGGTGCAAGCATAGGCGTCCTTTTAGGGGAAATAGATGGCCCTGGTGGATGATTAAACCACGAGGTAAACCATGAATCGCCATCATTTGTTTGGACGCCTATGGGTGCAAGATTTTGTCCATCCAACCTGAACATGCTTGCTGCTTGCGGGACTGAAGGCGAAACAGTGGGCCCACCCAGTAGGCTGGAACTCCTTGGTCTGAAATACTTTGAACTCTCATTTGGCTGTGGTTCAAAACCCTGTACCCCCAGTGAACATCCCAATCCCCACCAAAATAGACAAACATGGGTGGTGCACCTACCCCAAAATGGGATCCCATCATTAGTTTTGACCCACAGCCATTTTTCAGCAGTCCTAAACATGAAGTTGATGGAACAGGGAGCTGCGAAGCTAGCTGGATTCGATGGCAGATTTCGGGATTCGTCCAACTCCAGCGTTCAAGAATGATCAAGTTGTCATGAAGGAAGCCTAGGTCCTCCCGTAGACCTAGAAGCAAAGGGAGTTTTTGTCAAAAGAAAATTCGTCCAGAAGGGGCCTCTGGGGGGGTTCATGTTGATCTGGGGAGCGCACCCCTGAGGTCTTATCCTGGGCTTCCATTGACCTATAGCCCGGAGTTTGCCCACAGAAAGGTCAAAATCCTGGAGTCTCCCCTTTGAAACTGTTGGCGTTACTCCCCTCCGGGCATTTCCCCATCCATGTGTTTACTTTCCTTCTAACTGATGATTGGGATTGGTGAATTTGGAGGTTAGAAAGTGTCGCCCATCCCTCCACAAGAGCCAGAATTTCAAATCCCCCCCAAGAAACACAACTCATTTCCGTGGATTGGCCGACACAAGTTCAACACAACTTTCTCATTTACCACTAAAATGGCAACCAGCCAACCAAAAAGATGAAAAAGTCCTGCTCAACTCAACGAGTCAGCCAATCCAGACCAACCTGGGCGGTCCCCAGATCCCCTGCCAAAAGTTTACCTTGTGGAATAAAATACGGACACCCAACCACTAAACCAACCAAAAAGATCTCTAAGCCAAGATAATGTTTGGGAGCCACCAAGCCAAGCCAAAAACCGCCTAGGACATGAAAACACCAAGAACCCTCATCCACGCCATTTGTTCCCTGGCTTCCTTCCACATGATAAACAGGCGAGCCAAGCTTTTTGCGGCTCCACCACCTGACACATAGGTGTCCTTTTAGGGGACATAGATGGGGTTCCCTGGTAGATGAGCAGGTAGACCAGACATCGCCATCTATTTTTCAACCAAAACAAGCAAAAGGACGTTTCTATGTGTACTGCAGGGTCGCATACATATATACACATGAATATACATACATATATGAGAGATATTATGCGCCTGCCGGCCGTTTCTATGCGCCTGATTTTTTGTTCAACCCAACTTTGCGCCTGGAGCTCCTGTCGCTGGGTCTCCATCCAGTCCTTCATGGCCTCGCTTCGCTTCAAAACGGAGAAACAAAAACAAAAAAACGTGGGTGGCCGCGAGCTGCCGCGGTCACAGCCCCTCCAAATACCCCCCTTTGAAATGTTTTGGTGGAGCCTGGTTATTCATGGACCCTCTTTGTTCGTCCTGTTTTGTTCAATATTATTCCCCCAAGAGCTGAAAGCTTTGGGGTCGATAGGCCCAGATAGGCTCCGGGGTGGTCCCGGGCGGCCCTGAGGTAAGGTTCCACGAGGGTTCCACAAGGTTCTGCGAGGGCTGCGGGGTGGTGCGAGCACTAAAACGAGCACCGCATGCTGGGGATATCACCTGAGCTTCTTTTTTTTCTTCCAAACACGCCCAAAGGTCGAAAGACAGGAAGTCACTTCGGACTCCGGACTTCCAACCAACTAAAGAGATGAGCAATTGTCCAAATTTCCAGTGAAACCATCGAATTCCATTTTTGGAGGTTCCAAAAAAGGGAAATGAAGGAAACCCTGAAAGAACCCAGTGGTGTTCCAAACACCTGGAGGAAACCTCCAAACCTGAAAGACCTGTCGATTGCCGTGGGGAAAAACTCATCAAAAGACTTGGAACAGTTGTTGTTGGTTGACTTTAAACGCAAAAAAAAACACGAACGTAGTGAGAAAAGGGAAGCAGCCCACTGGGGAAAACGAAGAAATGCATTTATAAAGTCTTGAAGCCCAAATCTGGAGTACATTAAAATATCATGTGTTCTGATTTCTTCTCATATTTAATTCTAATCCATGTATACAGGGATTCTCCCAAAAAACATGTCACAATGGCGCTCTCCAGCCAGTACCCCTCTATTTTACGGGAATGTGGGTGTATTTCTGGTTTGGCTGATTTGAGGGAAAGCCACAAGGCAAAAAAACATTTTGGGGTCCCTAGTTGTAAGACAAATCTATGTGAGGAGAGGAGGCACAAGAATGCAAGGGGTTCCCTTGAAGAACAGCAGTCTTTCTTTACTAAAACAGTCTTCCCAAAAGAACCAAAAGGTTTAAAGACCAGACACTGGGGAAGTGAGTTCTAGTTCAAGGCCACTTGCAATTGGGGAAAAAGTGATTAAGCAACCAACCTTGGGTCCAAGCTACTTCGTAGGTAGGTTCTGACGAAAAGGGGATGATCACCCCAGCTACGCCACTCTTATAACCATATAGTTAAAACCTACTTCTTAATTTGGCTGAACGTCCAAGTATCTGCTTCAAATACAAAAACACATGTTACGAAAGATTCGAACTTGCGGAGAGGAACTGAGCAATGTTGACTTAACCCCGGATTAATCAACCCCTGTTTATTAGCATGGGGGTGGAGGCCCCTCCAAAAGTGGTCTGGTTCCCCACATTTCACCCAGGGACACCGGGCTCCCTATTAATAATCTGGGGTTTATTCATACGATTTGTCTTAGCGAAGCCTACCGGCTGACCTTTCTCCCACGTTTCGTGGACCTTCGGGGTCAAACCAAAGGGGCAGCAAACCTACCGGCTGAACTTTTGCCCATGCTTCGCGGACCTTCGGGCTCAGCGTAAAGTTGGTTCAAGTCCCGTTTAAAGGGGACACCCAAAGGAACACCCATCCACTGTTAGGGGGAAGCACCCCCATTCTTCCGGAACACTAGGAACACCCATCCACTTTTAGGGAGAAAACACCCCCCATTTTTCAGGAACACCAGGAACACCCATCCACTTTTAGGGAAAAAGCACCCCCATTTTCAGGAACACCAGGAACACCCATCCACTTTTAGGGAAAACACCCCCATTTTTCAGACCAGGAACACCCATCCACTTTTAGGGAAAACACCCCCATTTTTCAGGAACACCAGGAACACCCATCCACTTTTAGGGAAAAAGCACACCCATTTTTCAGGAACACCAGGAACACCCATCCACTTTTAGGGAAAAAGCACACCCATTTTTCAGGAACACCAGGAACACCCATCCACTTTTAGGGAAAAAACACCCCCATTTTTCAGGAACACCAGGAACACCCATCCACTTTTAGGGAAAACACCCCCATTTTTCAGGAACACCAGGAACACCCATCCACTTTTAGGGAAAACACCCCCATTTTTCAGGAACACCAGGAACACCCATCCACTTTTAGGGAAAACACCCCCATTTTTCAGGAACACCAGGAACACCCATCCACTTTTAGGGAAAACACCCCCATTTTTCAGGAACACCAGGAACACCCATCCACTTTTAGGGAAAACACCCCCATTTTTCAGGAACACCAGGAACACCCATCCACTTTTAGGGAAAACACCCCCATTTTTCAGGAACACCCACCCGTTTCCTGGGGAAAACCAAAGGGGCAGCCAAAGCACCGGCTCCCGCCGCTCGCGCCGCTCGCGCGCGGCTAATCCGAGCGCCCGGGCCAGGCGGCTTCGCCGGGCTTCCCGGAGCTCTTGCAGCGTCTGCTGGAGGTCCTGGCAGAAGAAAGCCCCGCGATGCCATCATGGGGGCTGGGGGGGAGGGAGGAGGGGGGGGAGGGAGCCCAAATAAGCCCAGCCCCCATGATTCCAAGTACCGACAGCGAGCGGATAAAAACGCCTGGAAGCACTGGGTGTCATACCCGCGCCGTTTTCCCTCCGTTTGCATGAGCCTGGGAAAAAAAGGAGGTGTGGGTCAAAATCAAACTACTAGGAATTGGACCGCTGGTTAAATCGTCCATGTTTCCACTAAGGGTTTTTTTTTGGGGGGGGTACCTATTTTTGACCCACAGCCAGCCCAGCGATTCCAAGTACCCCAAACAGCGAGCGCGGTCGCTTGGAGTTGAAGCCAAAGTTGGGACTCTGAAAAAGACAAAACCCACCAACACCCTCCGACTACCGTCTATTTTTTTCTTTTTTCGGAACAACCGGGTATTTGGCAGTACTTCCGAAAATAAAATAAAAGACAGTGGATCCCCTATCTACGGTCGCTTCACGTTGTCCCCCTGGGCAGTGAGTCCCGAACTGGGGGGCTGTACTTAGATGGCCCGGGACTTTGCTAAGTGGTTAGCTTTGCCCTAGGGTATCCCATTTGCCATGGTTGCAAGTCCCCGAGAAAACCAGGATTATTGACCATTTAGCGATTCATCCCCGAACATCTGAGTAGTAACACTTGCAGCCATCTGCATCTCATTGTCTCAACTTGCCCAAAGGGCAAGCAGAAACTGGGCTGAGCGGGGATTCGAGTCGGTCCTATCCCTTTTGGGTGGTGGTTGCGACCCTTTTCGCCCATCTAAAGCTAGAGTGAATTTCCCTTTGGTGGGTCATGTATTGAGGGGACATGCAGGGCAGCCGGAACCTTGCCCATGAAGGCCTTGCAACCAGTCTGCGCTTTGTTTCTCTTACGTCGCTTGAGTTGTTTGGACAACATGTCTAGACTTGGAGTGTACCACTAAATAATCTTCAGAACAGAAAAAAAGTAGAGCATCTGAAGAGCTTGAGCTTGTTGATTTCCTAGAATGCAAAATATTCAGTGGGTCACAGCCCGCACATAAGGCTTCAATCCTACTATATATAAGGCTAACTGGTTTGAGGGCAGTGAGATGGTTTCAACTGGGTACCAACAGACACCAGGCAACAAACCATGGGTGTACGGATCAAGTAGGCGGCAACCCGCGTATGGGAGACCGGGCTTTACTTTCTGCTTTGGTTTCCCTTTCAAACACCCCAACAAGATAGGTATCCTCAAAAAAACTCGAGCCCAGATTCAGTGGAAGGCTGCCAATAACATTGCTGTGCTAACGAGCCAGGGGTTGGATTGCTAACATGCTGCCGCAACTGCCTCTCCTACTACCACCGCACCCAAATCTGCGCCCCCCGCAGCAACCTCCTCGCTGCTGCGCCGGTGCTCCTGCCTAGGCCGGTGCCACGCTACCCCTCGCCTCCAAGAGGGCTTGTACCAAAAGTCGTATTGGCCAACCTACGTACCTAGGTCCCCCCATAGAGAGGGTAGAATAATGGTACCAACTTGTTTCTGTAGTCTATTTTAGTAGGGGAACCCTCCCACCTAGAAGCCTTACAAAGGGATGGTTTTTGGGGCATGTACCCTGTATATCCATGTACGGCAACCCCCAATCGTTTCCCAAAGCTACCTCCTAGCTACCTACTATCTACTGTATATATACTGTCTTTCACTCTAAAATGCCTTCAACTACCCCAATAAATATTCTATCTGGCCACTAACCCAGAGGGTCCAAGACCTTTCTCAGGAGGTGTTTGGCCAAGTTGTTTCTGTGGACGATTGTGGGCCCAAATCCTTGTCAGCGTGGTCTTGGCCCCAAAGCCGTCCTCCGGCTGATTTGGCCCGAGGGGTCTGTGGGGAGCATGAGGTCATGCTGTGCAACATCAACTTTGATCCATGAAGGGTTCAAGTATGGTTGGAAGTCAGGTTTAAATAGCTTTCCGCTTACGCTTAATTCACAAATCCCGCCATGGGCCTGCTTCGGTCCGCTGCTCTTCGTGGTACGCCCCCGCCCAGCTTTGGCACATGTTTTCTGAACGGCCAAACATGTTCTCCTGCAAACGGGTTGTAAGGCTTGCATGCATTTAGAGCCCTGCCCGCATCTGCTTTTCATCCGACTCGCCACCATCAGCTGCGGGCTCTCAGAGATCGCCTTGGCAGCGATGGCTTCCATCGTGGAGGTGGAGGGTTCAAAGGAGCTGCAGGTGGTGGCTCCCCTCAGGATGAGGATCTCAGAGTCTTTTATGCAATAGTTGATAAGTTGGTGAGTGGAGCAATCCAACATCAAACGCGTAGGCCTATGATAACATGCGTGACACGTGTGCTCACTGCCCGTTTGAATTACTGTTGACAATTGCTTTCGGTGGGAGTGAGTTGGAGTGGTCTTTGGGCTTGGCCTTCACTCATGTGCATGGGTCGGATGTGAGGAAACTGCCCAGAAGATCTTCGAGGCAGTGCTCCCAGATCTGCTAACACTAGAACTGAAACTGCCTGCAAGGCCCTTCACTTCTACGCCCAGGTCAAAGCACGGGAAATCATGGCCCATGAGGATATTAATATCTGCGAGTGACTGTTTGCCCCAGCATGATGTTGGAAGCCCCTGGTGCAGGAGAGAGCCTTGATTTGCTGGCCAAGCCAGGACAAATGCACAGTCTGACACCCAGCCCACTCTTTGCATTGACTGATCCATGGAACCTTCACGGTTAGGTGGGTGAGGCGGACCTGGAAGCCAACTATGAGCTCTTGAAAAAAAGTACTTTTTGGACCTTCCTCCAGGGCCCCTCCCAGAGTTGGCTCACCACACTGTGGCTAGGCTGATTTACATTAGTCGCAATTAGTCCCAAGATCTACTTCGAATTTTTCTTGAGGCTGCTTTTGTCCTCTTGTCCATCCGGCTGAACTACCACCAGGAGTGCTACAACAAGCGTGGTGGCCGCGGCATCATCCGAGTGCCTTTGCAGCTTAATGCTTTGCTTCATTGACCCCCCTTGAATTCACGGGTTTGCATGTGGACCATGGATGGAGCCCAAAAAAGGTCCTCCTCCTGATTATGATGTTGAAGCGTGGGGGTTGTTGTTGACCGATCATAGGGGCTTACACACCCAAGAAGCCATGTTAACTGATCATCGGGGCTTGCGCATCCAACAAGTCATGTCAATTTTGAAAGCTTGATTGTGGATCCGGGTTGCCATGATTGTTGCCTTGACATCCCACCCATGGTTGGAACTGAGTCCTGGGCGCACACCGAAGCTGTGCGCTTGCGAGCGCTTGCGGCACATTGCGTGCGCCTGGCGGGGCGAACCGGTGAGAGCAGGCGCGGTCTTGGTATATACGCATGTATGGTGGTACCCCGGTTGATTGGTTTTGGCCGTGCCAGGAATTCGCGCATCAAGCTGTTGAAATCCATCATCCAGCAATACAAGAGGGGCTGCGCAGGACATATAGCATAGTCTGCATGTTGCTTTGGGTGTAGATTGGCAGGCTGATGATGAGGGAACCTCCAACGAAGAGGAGGCCAACCTGTGCAACCAACATGCTCGCTGATCACATCAATTTTGCAAGGTTTGGCATCTGTTTGTCTGGCTGATAGGTGGTGCATGATGCTGAGCAGGAGGGTGAGGACTGGTTTGGTGGGAAGGGAATCGTTGTGTTATGAATTATCTTTCAGCTTTTTATGATGTGCACAAATGCTTTGTTGCTTGCCTGGCAGGACGATGACAGCCAAGAGCCAAGTCTCCTTGAACTGGAGCTGGTGGGGGTGCAATGTGGTGAGGTGCTTCTAGCCTTGATGCACACAACTTCGCCAGGGTCTGGTTGGAGATGCTCTTGCACTTGTGGCAATCGAGGAAGAGGAGCAGCAAGAGGTTCATGGCAAACGTGAGTGCATGTCGATTCAACTGTGGCTGGAGGAGCTTGGTCCTCGTGACGAGGTGCAAGTTTGGTTGGGTCGCATGTGTGCTTGTGCTACAAACGCATTACCTTTTCATGGCTTGAGGCGCTTGATCCTAGCAATGATGCTGGGTTGGGACAGGAGCTACTGTGTGTGTGTGCGTTATGAATTGCAAGTGATGTTTGTAGCATGTGTTGGAGGAGCTTGGCTCGGCACTGGTCCCAGAGTTAGAGGAGCTGTACTGTGCATGTGCATTTGATGTTTATTGCGTGGCTTGAGAGGAGCTTGGTCCTAGCGATGCCGTGCTGGGGCAGGAGCGCGTGGCATTGGGTGTGAATTTGCGTACGTGGCTCAAGTGCTTGCTAGTTGTTGCGCAGGTTGAGGAGCTCGGTGCTGCTGATGATCCTCTACCGGAGAAGGAGCGGGGTTGTGTGTGTGTGTGCGTGTGTGCTGCAGCGTGCTGCCATTGCAATATAGCATGGCTTGAGGAGCTTGGCCCCAGCAATGATGCTGGGCATGCCCAGGAGTGTGTCTGCCCGTGCGCACGTTACAAGCGCCAGTTCTTGAGCTGCGTGAGGAGCTTGGGGCTGGCAATGCTGTGCCGGAACAGGAGATGTTTTGGGTGTGTGCTTGTGGGTGTGTGTGTGTGTGTTTTGCAAGTGCTGGTTCTGGCATGGCTTGATTGAGGAGCTGGGTCCCAGTGATGATGCCCCACCGAGGGTGGAGCAGGTGTGTCGGGCATGTGTAGTGCCTGTACATGTGTGTGTGTGTCATGGCTTGAGGAGCTTGGTGCTGAGAATGATGATGCTCTCTTGGGGGGGCAGGAGAGGTGTTTGGGTGTGTGTGTGTGGGCTGCAAATGCTTTGCATGGCTTGATTGAGACCTGTAGGATCCAAATGATGATGCTGCACAGGAAAGTGTGTTGGGTGTGTGTGGAACATTTGTGTGCTTGTGTGCATGGCTTGAGGAGCTTCGTGCCGAGAATGATTCTCTCCTGGCGCAGGAGCTGTGTTAGGTGTGTGCGTTTGTTGCAAGTGCATGGCGTGGCTTGATTGAGGAGATTGGGCCTAGCGATGATGCTGTGCTGGGGCAGGAGGAGCTGTGTTGGGCACATGCGTGCCTGTGGCTGTGCTTGTCAACCTAGTGTGGTTGCATGGATCGAGGAGGTTGATCATAGTGATGCTGTGGGGCAGGAGCTGTGCAACCATGCATGTGTGCTTATGCTTGCGCATAAGTTAAGCCTGCCTGGCCAATATAGGAGCTTGAGGGGTGCGAGGGCGCCCTGATTCAGCAGAATGCGCCGGTTGAGGAGGCGTGTTGGGGTTTCTTTTGAAACTGCACATGATTGCTGGTCTGTCGTGGGCGTGGGGTTTGCTGCCAATTGGCCAGGAGGCGCGGCCTACTCACGGTGGTGATGCTGTTGGCCATGAGCGGGAGCAGGCGCGACTAACTTTACATGGCATGATATGCTGACAGCTGATTGGGCTACCGCACTAGGAGGCTTTGCTGGATGTGGATCGCATGGCTCAGAGCTGAGATGTGTGTTTTGTTTGTTTGTTCTTTGCCAGCTGGCTTCAGCAAAAGAAATGAAAACTGGAATGAATCTAGGGTTCTCTGACGCTTGCTTGCAAAACACTCATTGGCCCTGATGAGGCTGCCTCACAGCCTTTTGCGGTCGGTGCGGGCTGCAAGGCCAGCACAGCCATATGCTTGATGCTAATTGGCATGCTCTGCAAAGTTGGTTCGATAAATTGGGCAGGCAAAACGCGGGCCGGTGGTTAAGCAGAGCATTGCGGAGCTGCCTGGGTGTGTTCTTGGGCATGATGAGCTGGCAGCAATGCAGGTGAGCGCCATTGACTTCGTGGCGAAGCAAATGGGCATGAACAAGGAAGCTGCTGAGGCAATCCCGGGATCCTGGTGGGTGCGTTTGGGGTCAGTTGTCAGTTATTTGCTTGTTTGTGAAACTGGATTGCTTGTTATCTTGTTAGTGGTTGTTAATGTTTGCTTCTGCTGTTAAGGCAAGTAGTCCCCCATACAATGCTCTTTGGCAATTACTTCAAATTGCGGGAGGTTTCCAGGACAAAAGGCCACTTCTCTGCCCGCGCCTGGGGGCAAAGGCCTTGTGGTCGCATCGCATTGACATGGTAGAAGGTGCCTGGAAGCGATCAACGAGTGGATTCCCATTAATTAGGATTGTTGTCATGTGCAACGTGTATAGCTCACGTGCAAAGCAGGTTCGTGGATGCAAGTGTTTTCCCACGTCAAAAGGGTCCAGATTCAGGGTTCAGGGCCTCACAAGCATGACACCTTCTTGCACGATCACCAAACATGTTTGTTGCATGCTTGTTCAAAAATATACAGCTTACCTCGCTCAAATCGCGCACATGTCCATGGTGGAAGGGACACGGCTTGTACTCTCGGTTTCCGATTTGTTTGCTGACCTTGATCATGACCCCTGAGATGAAAGAGTAGTGGTAGGGGGTCATCATGTCGAGTGCTTTGTG